ACCAGTCAAGCTCATATGGGTGGCAAGCGAGGGAAATAAATGAGATATGAATGACACCCTGCCCTGCTACCAAACCAGAGCATTCATAACATTAATATGTGCTGCTCCCATCACTTCTAAACTGCATTTTTATGACTATTAAATGTTGAAATTTCGTCTCGTGTCCTTTTGATGGGAGCTCACAACTAATTAATTAATGCCGCTTCAAAATACAGTTGAGTTCTTTAAAAAAGAATATGACCGGATGGCCCCTTCCTTAAAAGAAAGAGAAAAAGCAAAACTTCAAGTCATTAAAATTAGCTAGTCTGGAATGCCAGTTGATTTTCATGTTTTACCTTTTTGAAGAAAGAATAGTACTAACAAGAAACTGTCCATAATTACATAAAAATAAAGGCTGCTGCTCACAATAATTGAGTTTTTGCTAAGGGTGCTTGATCTCCTCAGATCTTAAGGAGAGTGATGGTGCAATGTCTCAATTTGTTATTTTGAAATTAACGAGTTACCCTTTATACAGAACCCAGGTATGCCTGATTATACATGAAAACACCCTAGTTTGGGATTTTTGCAACACAAGAAATTACCTTCTTCTAAAGGAAAAAAAAAAAAATTAAGATTAACCGGAAAAGAAATGTTGAGGAATGATCTCCAAGCAAGGTAATACATAACCACGTAAGAAAGGTTGTGGAAGACACCCAAAAATCATTATGGATGGCCTAAGCTAACTTTCCATCTAAAACACGGTGATTTTGTATAAGCAGCCCAATTTTTCCTGCAAGATCACTCTAAACCTTCAAATTTGTTCGTTTCAATGAACTGCACTACAACAGAATCATAACATAAGTTTCCCATAAAATTCTGAAAGCTTAAAAATCATGATAGAAACTAGTGGATATACACACAAACTAATAGAACAGCAGTCATAAAATAATTGGTAGAATAGCATTCATAAAATGCACTTCACAAATACATGCTCATCTAGTTATATAAGTCTTGTCAACACAAACAATATTGAAGGTGCAAAGTTTTGCAGTTATAAAATGCAATCATAAAATGCGCTTAACAAATACATGCACATCTAGTAATAAAGTTTTGTTAACGCGGAGAATACTCAAAGTTCAAACTTTTGCAGTTAAAAATATAACATAAGTAAGCCTAGTCCATCAAGAAAAGTTTAGAAAAAGCATCCTAATAAAATTTGATTCCATTAAAAATATATACATCACCTTGGAGCATCATCTATTATTCTTAGCCCCAACTCCACAGTCCACAGTGGGTTCCCTTGGACGCCTGGCACAAATAGAAAAACATCCATCTGTACAAATTTTGTCCAGATTTGTACCCAAAAGGGTTGAACCAGTTGGTCAGTCCCAATACAAGTAACATAATCTGATAACCCATCATCCCTGGAAATTTAAAAGCCAAAATTATAGTTACCTAAACAAGGAAGTTGAGAAAGTAGGTATTTTAAAGATAATTCCACTGCTCTAGTCATTTATTCTTCATTGTGATTATAATATACGTAATGTGGATGAAATGTTTAGCATGGTGGGGGTTGACTTCACCTATACCATGGAGTTGTAACCAAGCCTTAAATCTATTGTGGAATTTGGATACAACCAGCAGATCAAGCACTGGATGGAGGACTGTTTGGATTGCATGCATCTGGTCAATTTGGCTAGCACGGAATGAAAAAGTCTTTAAGGATGGCCAAATGGATGGTGAAAAATTATTTGAACTAGTGCAGCTGAGATCATTCCATTGTTGACAAGAGTAATAGTTAGTAAGTTAGTTTTATTAATTGTTAACAACTGAGGATTCGATCCTCAGATCTGGTGAATATCTCACCTCTCTCGATGAGGCGCACGGCTTATCGGACCGCTTGATGGAATTCAAGATCATTCCATTGGATTATAGGGAAGTTGGATAAATGCTAGTTCAGTTTCTATGAACGGTCTCGAGAGCCAAGATTATGCATGAAGTCAACAATAAGGAAACAGACGTTGCCTCAAAATCATGAGTAAGGGATGGCGGGGCCCTGGTGGGTATGCACAAATTGACTTGCATTTTTATTGTAAAAGTGTACAGTTGGTTCATTAAGGCTTTGACTGTAGCTCTTTTAATCTACTGATGATCTAGTGGAGTAAATAAGTTGTAGTCAGTGGATGCTTAATTTTTTTTTATTAAGGGCAGGAGTACCTCTTGTACTCCACTTAATAAAATTTATTTTGCTGTGTAATAAAAAAAGATAATTTCACTGCTCAAATTTACGTGACTAGTTCTCTACTGTATTGAATTTGTCAGTTAGAATCAACTTGAATAATAAATCAAAAACCAGGAGCTGCTTTAATCAGGATCATGACCAAAAATTCTAATAAATAAAAGACACAGGAAAACTGAAACCATTCATTTGTTAAGGCTATTGCATAGCATACAAAATAAATAGTAGAGTATGATATAAGATTAGAAATACGACTAGTAACGGAGTAAAATAACTAGGGATTTCCATGGGGCAGATAAATGGTCTTATCTATGCTCCAGATGATGACATGTAGCTTTTATAGTGTTTACATGACCATCTACAGCAAAGAATGAGAACAGCAACCTTGACGTCACAATTACAGGTATCTGTCTGCTTTCTTATCCTTCATCATAATGCTTGTTTGATAACAAGCTTTGAACTACAAGCCAGTCAAAACAAAAGACATAATAACATTAGGGCATCATTTAGTCACAAGCCAAAGGCATAACCAAGCAACAAAGCAAATGTAGTATCCATGACCATGATTTTAAAGTCACAACATTGGACATTGAAGTTCTTGGGCTTGGAAAATGTTGTCAAGGGAAAAGCAGTTTGACTATGGAAGAGCACTGATGGGGAAAAAATAAGTAAGGATAACAAAGGACAGCAAACTTGCTTGCTAGGTAGTTGACATGCAATAGATACAGGAACGTTCACCATTGCCAAGAACATTGGAATTTAAAGGTAAATAGAAGAAAAAGGCAATTAATAGTAGAATAACATTCATAAAATGCACTTACCAAAATTTTATAGTTTCAAAATCCCCAAGTTATAAGCCGGTTACATTCAGAAAAGTCAAATAAAAGCACCGTAATGAAAGAGATCATATTAAAAATATAAACATCACCTCAGACCACAATCTACCACTCTCTGCGGCAACTCCTCAGTGGATTCCCCTGGAAAGCCGGCTCAAAAGAGGGATTAGCGATGAGTAAAAAAATTGTGTCCACATAGAAATCATCCATTTCATTAGGTCATACTCAAAAGGGTTGAACAAGTTGGCAATTCACAATACCCGTAACACAAGTCTTACCTAGCCTCACATCTGACCATCTGTTAAAAGCCCAAACTACATTGACCAAAACAAGGAAATTGGGAAAGTAGGTGTTTAAAAGACAATTCCACCGTCTCCAATTTACTTTACTAGTCTCTTACCCAATTGAACTTCAAAGTTGAAGATCAAATTAAAAGCCAGGATCTGCATTAATCAATATCAAGACTAAAAATTTTAACCCAAAAAATGAAAAAAGAAAAAGAAAAAGAAACATGTGAACAAAAAACAGTTACCTGTTAAGACTATAACGTACAACATAGATATTTGCTACATGGTGATATAACGTTACAAATATAACCAGTAATAGAGTAAATTAACTATCACTTTCTGTGTGGTGGAGAAAGTGTCTTATCTCTATTCTAGAAGATGACATGAAGCTTTTGTGCTTGTTCACATGACCATCTTTGGCAAGGCAAGAGGACAGTAAGCTTGAGGTCAGAATGAAAAGTATCCCTCTGCCTTCTTATCATCCATCATCATATTCCTTGTTTGATACCACCTTGCAAGATAACAAGTTTAGAACTACAAATATTTATGTGAACAATTCTCCTCAAAGTTTTTTTCCAGAAGAACACAAAGGAGGAATATATTAGGGAAGAAAGAAGAAAGAGCAGTAAATGTTTCCTTCTGGATCCCAATCTATAAAGTCATATTTGGCTACAATGTCTAGGATCATAACAGACATGGAAATTCCTCCAGCAAAGCATAATCAAGTTGTTGATCTCTAGGTGCTTCAGAAAAATACTATTTTGGCTTTTGTCACTGGGCATGTCAGCTCTGTTAAAAATCTAAATACAGATTTTGTTCTATGATGCACATTAAAACAAGCAATGTCAATAAAGCACTGAACTTTCTTGGTCATTGCATAAATAGAACACCTGAACAGAACAATACACAGTTTCAATATCCATAAAAGGGAAAGAAAAAAGAAAAAAAGAAAAAGAAGGAAAAAGAAAGATAGCATATATTAGATTTATGAAAACCAACGCTGCTACTTCTCCATGAATCAGCAGAAGCTTGGAATGAGCCAATGGGGTACTGGGCTAAACTGGAGAGTGTCTCCGAAGGAAACTCGAAAATAGGTGAAACTTTTCTATCCTTCAAGCTGTAGATGCCCATTTTACAAGGTTCATACAACCCAAAAATTCTAATATCATGGGTGAAGTAAATAGAGTTGTGCATGCATGTACTCAAATCTCTTGTTGATACTGATACGGAATGATTTTGACCTAAAAACAGTGAACGATCATCCCCAAGTGTTTCCACTTCTACCCATTTTTTCCCTTCCAATTTCAGCTTATATACGTCAAATATCTCCTCTGTTATATCACGGTTATAGTCTTCAGGCAAAAACCTTGCAACAAGCAAAATCTCCCCATCTGATTGAACCAGATAATCTCTAAGGTGATTTAAATTTGGTCTCTGAAGCGTGCCCCTAGGCAAAGGATAATAAATTCTGGTGCTCTTTCTGGACAACCACTCTCTAAATCCCAAGTACGAATCTCACCACAAGCTCCTAGAACATAGAGCTTATTTCCATTGCATATAATCTCCAAGCAATCATTCCGGTTTGGAATTCCTGAATAAAAAAATACTGTCCATTCACTGTCTCCATTCTTATAATATAGCAGCTGTTCTGTATAGAAGTAGCATAGCAAAACCAGCGCTGTCAAGAAGGCTCTTGATACATAAGATTGTTGTAGCTCTCCCTTGCGCACGAAGGCCCATTCATCCTCACCCTCACA